GGAGCTCGAGTTTCGGACGCCCCAACTAGGCAGGGCCCATCGCGCACACTTACCTTCCGAAGGCGAGTCGTCCGGGGCCGCGGCGGCAGTCACCGCAGTCGTGGTCGTGGTCGTGGTCGTGGTCGTGGTCGTCGCCGCCGCCGCCGCTGCCGGGGCTGGCTGGCTGAGGGCCGCTGCTGTCGAGTCCGGCTCGGTGTCGGGTTCCAGCTCCAGGTCCCGGCCCGGCGTGCTGCTCCGGGGACCGGGCGGAGAGAGCTGCAGGATGGGCCTGCGGCCGGGTACCGCCCGCGACTTCTTCCCCATCGCGAGCCCAAGCGCGAGCAGCGAACGTCGGGGAGCCGAGAGGGGCGGGCACTCAGCGTGGCGATGCGTAATCAATATTCATGCACCACGGCACCGCCTCCCGCCGGAGTCCGCTTTTACCCGGCGGGGTGCGCGCCTGCGCAGGCGCCTTAGGCCCCTCTTGCGCTTCTGGCTCCTCCTCCCCTGGGAGGAAGGGCGGGTTTACCCACGGCGCTAGGCAATTGGCTGGTTTGATCCAGAGAAGGCGCCGGTAGCCAATGAAATAGGAAAAAGGGTGTGAGTCAAGCCAATAGAGCCGAAATGCCTGAGTTTAGAATGCCTTCCCCACTTACATAGGGTTCCACCCATGCGTCTTTTGCGGTCTTTTCTTTATCCTCTTGGCCTCCATCTTGTGGCTATTCTCGGCGAAGTGTCCGATGTTGTTTGTCCAATAGGAAGCTATGCTGTTTTCCGGGCCCTTCCCCAAACTTCGCCCTGATTATTGTGGCTTACTTTGGGTATAGCATTGAACATTAAATAGCGTTTTTACGCTTTTGTAATTTCTTAGAGTACAAAGATAATGTCTCATATTTTGCTTATTGGCTGAGAAAAATCACTGGAGATTATACTGCCTACAAGGAAAATGCCCAAATTGTTGGAATGGGATACAGGAACCTTACTAATCTGTCCCACTGGTACCTTCAACCTGCTTTAATTAATCTTTTAACACCCCCCTCCCTGCTTCCCCCCACTCCCCGCCCCGCCACTGTCTCCCTCCTCTGTCTCCGGAGCCAGCCACTTGGAGCATCACCTCTCTCACCTTCAATCCTTTGCACTGGCTGGAATAATTACTGCACCTCATGATGAAATTCTTTTAATTCCTCAGGCGCAGTGCAGTGCATACGCGCCCCGGGGAGCCCAGCCCCTCCCTAGCACTTAACATCCTACTGCCCCTCTAAATTGAGCTTAAAGGAATACCAGTGGTGTTTATTTTTATATCCGCAGGTTGAGTTCCTACTAAAAAAATCTAACATTTATTGAGTGCTTAGTACTAAGTGCTTTACATGTAAAATTGCACTTGTTTCTCACAACAACCTTATAGGGTAGATATCATTATCCTCAGTTAACATATGCACCCTCAAGTTGGTTGCTGAATGCAAAAGTCAGGAGAGTAGTTACTTATCTGTTTTGTTCCCTGTATATGAAATGCATTTTCTGGAACAGAGGAAACACTCAGCAAATGCTTTTGAATAAATATATACAAACTTGAAATAGTAAGACTTCATTCCTTTTTCTTACCTATGGGAGGAGTATCTGGTTTAGGATGTCCTGAGATTATAGATTCTCCAGATTTCTGAAAATTTAAGATCTCGAAGCAGGGAAGAATTTGCTGTTTAAAACTGTCAGCAATTTTCTGATTTATTTCTTGGGAGGAGAGGCAGTAAAATACATTAGTCGTGTATTGGAATTCTGAAGCCAAACATCTAGGTTCAAAACTTGGCTCCGGTAACCTTCCAGATGTGAAGGCTTGGACAAGTTTTTTAACATGCCTAAACTTGTCTTTGCAAGTGTAAAATGTGTTAGTAACAGTGTCTATGGGGTTGTTGTGAAGTTTAAATGAGATCATAGTTTTTTTCTTTCTTTCTTTTCTTTTCTTTCTTTTCTTTTCTTTCTTTTTTTTTTTTTTTGAGGCAATACCTCTCTGTTGCCCAGGCTGGAGTGCGATGGTGTCGTCATAG